AATGTAAAAGTTCAATAGCTAGCACTATTTCCATTTTGTCTTCGCATTGTGAAGAACGTAATTATAGTTAAAGATGTCCTGGGGCTTTGATGTCTTATTCTTTTTCTGCTTTCGAAATAGAAAATCGCAAAAAATCTGTTCTTCCACGAGAAAACGACTCCCGGATGAAAAAAATTGATGGTCGGCACACTATTATGACTCGCACTTTATTCTCTTATTGAATTCTTCTTAGAGTGAGATGAAAGAAAAGGTCCAGGGTAACAATTCCGGTTCTTAGAGATCTTTTCCGGACAATTTCGATTTGATACGATTGAAGACAAGATGCAATTGCATTGTATGCATCTCAACCAAGAAGGATTTTCTAAATTAGAACAAAATTAAATTAAAAGTACTTTTTATGTGTTTTAATTTACTTGCAAGTGATTCACCTCAGTGAAATTACTCTGAGGTGTTTATTGAAACCGCTTCATCGTTCTTAAACCAATCTTCACAGTTGAAATTTGAAGCGGCTAGAATTCATCTTAAACCGGAGAGATGGTTTTCGGGTGCAAAACGATTCCGTTGCAATTTGTATTCGGTCATGGGAACGCATGGCGTGGCAGCTATCAGCTACCAGACACATGAACGCGATTTGCCCCGAAACCAACAACCAGCGTGGGGTGCGGCTGGAAGTTGGAATTAAGGTAAACACGAATATGTGTGTACACGGCCCCGCTGCACCCAGAGCTAGCGAGCCAGAGATGGCAGGGGCGTTATTATTCAAGATTACATTTCGTATATATTACCCTCAGCTCCAACTCAGGCACAGCTTCAACGACCGCCAACCTCCAAACCTGCAACATGCTACGACGTCAACCTTCTACTCCGCACAGCTTGCACCAACTTCATTGAGTGTACCAGTATACAGTCATTATACAAAAATCATTATGGTACATAATTTTAATATAAAATTTTTAATTTTTTTCTTGGTTTTTGGGCTGTTATTTGATAAAATTAAGAAAAATAATCTAAAAATTTAATAAAAATAAATTTTGATAACATACGTTATCTAAAAGTATATGAAACCAAAGGAAACTACTTGAAAGTCCATGAAAGTACATTTAGCTGAGGTCGTGCACATGCGTGATACTCACAAGTGCATTTTGGAATCATTTTGAAAACAGTTATGCAACCACATCGGCACGACCATCTACTATCTCTTTCGCACAAGAGTACACATTAAACCTCAACGTCCACATACCCCTTACTCTATATACCTATATATACCAAACCGAAACCTAAACCTCAAAACCCAAAACTGGTGGAGGATGAGAATGGAGGACGACTCACATTGCACTACCTTCGACCAGCGTCGAGTGATAACAGTAAACCATCGCGCTGGGAAACTAGTGCAGCTATTAAACTATTGCAGTGGTAGTTCCAGTTTGAACCATGTGGTCATCTCGTTTTGCAACATTGTGTTATTACTGAAAGCTGGCCACAATACGCCGCAGCAGATGCACCAATATTTGATTAAGAATTGAGTGGTGATAAATTAGAATTGTGTTGGTTTCATGATGGCATGAAGGGTATATAAAGTTGGTTTAATTACAAAACGTCAAATACTGCAATAAACTAAGGATACTTGTATCTGAAGCGAGAGGTCAACATAAATATTGAATTCGTTGACCCAAGCGAAACAAACCGGATTGGGGCTTGGAAATCCCGAGGGGATTTCGTTACCAATGATTTTTGATATTTTTCCTTCCAATCTCAAGATTTTATTCTAGGATTTACACGCGGAAAGGTTTTTGTTGTTGAATTTTTGATTTTTCTCAAACTGCAAGCAATTTAAAATCAAATTAAACGTGAAAACGGGTACATAACCTAAATTATAACCTATTCAACACAAATAATATGTATTACTGATTATTTTTAAGACTTTGAAATGTTAATTTTAATTTAAACTTTTATTTTTTTAAATTTTTGTTTATTGTTTTCTTAAAATTATTCCCTTCATTCCACGTCGACGAGCTTGATAGTTGTAGGTTAAATGGCAGGATGCTCGAATGTTGGATGAGAGCGGTCTGCGGGAGTGGATAGAGAAGGTTTGGGACGAGATCGACGCGGGAATTTGGCCCCCGCAAGCCCCCGACGCCGCGCGCGCTAATCTGACCGCAGAAACTTGTGCGCGCCTCGGTGCGCCTTTCCTCGCTCCTCGGGCAACAATATACGAACCGCACTTACGTCTCCCGCCGCCGCCCCCGACCGTTCGCAACCAGCCTTAACAATCCGCAAGAATTCTGCACCGTCCCAACCGTTCTGAGCTGCAAATCATCATTTAAAGTGCATCCTGTAATGTATCAGAGAAGCAAATATATAGAGTGTTATAGTAAATTTATAAAATTTTAAATATTTTACTACTTTAGTAAAGAAAATTATTGTAACATCCTGTATTTGTTGTGTTTATGAGAGTTTTGCTCTGTGGATCATAAAACACCGGCTAAAAGTTATTCGCCGTGAAGTGGCCAGAGGTAAAAGTAGGAGGCGGTAAAAAATACTGTTCTCGAGGTTTATTCGGGTTCACACTAGTGCATTCAAATGTTTTAGTTGTTGTTGTTTATTTCGTTTACTTTAATTTTCAGCAAAAATTAAAAAAAATTCGGTGAAATTTTATTTGCGCAAGATTTAAAATAAGAGTCGTGAAAAACTATCGCGTTTGGCTTCTTCTCACATTCGAATAAGTTTTTTGCACGTCCGCACGAAAAACTATGCAGGGTCGCGAGCGCTTCTCGCTTTTAAAGTAAGATTTATTCAAAAAGATTTCATAATTTATCGAATAGAACGCTTAAATTCCGCGCACCATTCTCGCACCGCGCATATTTCGTGCGCTGGCGGCGAGGAAAAAATGCGGCCGAGAATGAAAAGCACGCCGGTGTGTAGCTGGGCGATGCGCCGACGACGTGCGCCCATTGTGGGCGCGAGAAAAAGTGTCACACAAGAATAATAATGCGAAGTTAAAGCGAGCAGAAAAAGGTATTGTGCATGCGCGCGCGCCTTCCGAAAAGAAAACCTAGAAAAAAGAAAGAAACGCGGATGAGGAATGAGTTTTTCCTTCCTACTTCTTCATGTGCTATGTTGGTTGCATACCTTCTGTAAGAAGATTCCTAGAAAATCTAAAAAGGTAAATTAGTTCAAGATGAAAGCATTTCTTCTACTTGGTGTCTGCGTATGAATAAAAATTTAAAGCATTCAGAGGTAGACGCACAAGTCTCAAATCAGTAATTTTAAGGGTAGACCTGGTTTGAGGTTAGAGTTTGTGCCCAGTGGTCCAGAATATTAAACAAACATAAAAGGTCCACGGCTGCCGCAAGGTGGCGTTATATATGACCGTACCGATTTCAATACTTCCTGCGTTTCTGGCTTCCTGCCGCCGCCCCCAGCCTATCAGTACGCACGCGATTTATATGTTCTCGTGCCGTCCCAACGCCGAATATTATAATTGATCGGTAATAAAAAGACGATTTATCGTCGTCGCCGCTTATCGCTTATCTTTTGCATTCCTATCCGGGGCAATGGCGGCGTGGCTGTGACTTCATCGCTGCGCTTCATTGACGCTGGTCGATTTTGGTCCGTTTCGGCGAGAGGTGGCTGTCGCGGCCATTTCTACCCTTTTGCACACCTCGCCCGCCGTCCTAATATGTCCTTATGGTTCCTGGTTTTTAGTTGGAGGCAATGTTTCATCCAGGCGGATGTCGCGCGCAGGCGGCCGGCTTGCGAGCCTTCGTATTATTCATACGACGACTGCGGTGGACACGCGACAGCCAGGAGGCATGACCGGAAGTCATCTTAATTCTTTATACAGGGTGTTGGAATATTTTTAAAAATATATTGATTGCGTAGTTTTTTATTTTAACATTTATCCAATAGAACTGGTTAAAAATATTATTTTGTTATATTGTGTAGTTTGCCAGGTTTTCCATCTTAATCTTCTTCGGGACCTGCCGTGGAAGTTCTAGGTCCCTTGCCGCCTCTACGGCCTTTACCTCCGTGACGTGTACCGTTTCTTCCACGTGGATGTCTTGCGCCTCTACGTGGTGGAGAAGGTCCTTCGGAAGTGCCCATATCAGAAGATTCATGATCTTCACTTGCGGATGCCTGGGACTATAAATAAAATATTAACAAATATATTATTAAACGTTTGATGAAAATTTAACTTACCACTATGGCAAAAACCACAAAAACAGTGAGGAAAAGCAGAGTTAGTTTCATTTTAGAATATTTTTTAATTTTTGACTTTTTGAAATTTGTTCTGAAACTGATACTATTCCAAAACATGATTCGCCTTATATACTCGTTGTAATTGTTAATTTCAACACGCGATTTAATCATAAGTGATCATTGACACATCCTGTTTTTATGCGAAAATGAAGTCATTAAACATCAGTCGATTAGTTACAATATTCAAATTTCTATTCAGTTATTTCTTCATTGTATGCTTTCAATTCGTACAAAGTATTTAAAAAGGAATAAAATACATATTCCGCATTGGACCAACTCAATGGTAAAGTCTAGTCAGCTCGTTAAAACGGCGGAATGCTAGAAAAGCTCGTAAAGTTCGTTCCGGGGGCAATTAAAAATGAATGAACGCTGGCGCGCGTGTAATTTGCTCGCAAAGCGGTCAATACGCCACTCGATTGAAATCGGTATCACGTTGCTGCTTCCTCTTCGACGTGAACCGTTCCGCATTGCCGCCCGAACGCAATTCGATGCAATTTACTTGCGAAAGGTTATCTACGAGCGCCGGGCCGCACATTTCGTTAGCTACAGAAACTGCAGCAGGCAAAGCTCCACTTGAAGTGCCTCTTCTTGCAACTCTGAGTAAATTCCATTCGATATTGAGCGATGATATTGGCTCCGCTAACGAACAACCGGAGCGGCCAAATTGAAATGTACTGTTCTTCACGGCAAGAACAATATTTCAATACAAATATAATCAGCGAGACGTACATGTGCTATGATTGGATGTTGCCGAAATTGCTTTTATTAAGGTAGAAATTATTTCAAAATATAATTACACGTAAAAAAATAAAACTTTTGTCGGTAAATCTTCATTTTGTTAGTTTCTGATGTAAATATAGACATGTTGGGCTTTATGCATGTGCACATTCTTCGCATACATTCCACAAACCAATTTTACAATATGTCCTTCTAAGTATTTTTGTAATAAAATCAATGAACTTTTTTTTAAATTTATAAATACTTACTTTTAATTCTGGTTAAACGAATAGCAATAATCGGATTGGTGTCTTTAAAGTTTGTAAGCGGAAATGAAGTGGAATTAAAATAAGGTCGTGGATAATAATCAACTTTGCCGATTTTTTCTTGGTCATATAGAGTTTCACCCTTGCAATTTACCCAAAGTCTCTGAAAATATATTTTTTTAATAAATCAATATATACACATATTTATGCTTTACAGAAGCTTTAAGTTTGATTTTTGGGCGTAATTCGCTTGGTAAGTCATCGGGAATATCAGCATGTAGGGTGTATTGTTCAGGTAGCCACAAGGTCAACTAAAATAATAAAAATTATTAATTTTAAAATTTTTTAAATTTTTAAATAAAACTTACTCTATTTAATTTAAGGAAGATACAAGGTGTTTTTGCTTTGTATCCAAAATCTGGAGCCTTGCAAGGACCAAGTGTCTCCTGTCGTAGATTACATTGCAATGAACTGTCACACTTCTTCGAATAATCTGCAATAAAACAAATAATAGATTTGTTAACAAATGTATGAACTTACCAGTTAGCATGGTAGCAATCCGTTTGACATAAGGTGTCTCTCGACGATTCTCAAACGAATCTTCACCTTTGCTTCCATAATAAATGAGTGACAACGGACAGTGATCGAGATTAACCATACTGGGAACCATAGTTAACCCTGTAATTTACATAAATATTAAATATTTGATTATTTTTGATTTCTTGTTTGTGTATACCAGGATATTGCGGTTCTTTAAACTTCAATTGCTTGAATGGAGGGTTAGCAGGATTTTGATAGAAGTTGACTTGAGTCATGTATACAGCCGTGCAGAAGAAAAGGAGCATAAAACAATTAATGATGATATAGTAGAAGACAATTTTCACTGAAACAACAAAAAACACGAGTAAATAAATGATATTATTTTTACTTCCAACTTTAAAGCATCAGTTTTCTCCGGTTTTTAGACACAAAAAGTGGTACTTTAAACCCAGGCGGCCAGGGACGTGACTAAAGTGCAAGTGCAGGTGGAAATAAAGAGGATGTAGAAAGAATAGCATAAGCATCACGTGGCTAAAAGTTGATAAACACTCGATTGATTAAACGTGACAAGAACACCCGTTTAGCCACTTGACACTTAATATACTAAAATTATAATGTTTGATATCTACTCTTGGTGCATTTGCACTTCGAAATCCATTTGCGTTTGCGCAGGCACGCATCACAGCAATCGCAGCATTGCCCAAATCGCGACCATCGCGAGCTCTCTGAATCGCTTATGACCGGCAGTGGTAAATCATCCTCCTCCAGGTAGCTGCGGCTTGAATGAGAGATGTTTGTCAAATCATCCTCGTCGTTCTCATAGATGATCAAGTTGTAAACGCTGCGATTTTGCAAGACCTGTTGCGGAGTAGTTTCTGTAGCTTCACTGCGAGTTTCCGAATTTATCGATAGTTCAATCTCGTTTTGTTCATCGCTTGAACGCAAGTCCAGTTCATGTTCATCATCATCGTTATACATTTCTTTTTATTGCACTTTAAATTATTCGCTGATTATAATGCTTCTAATGTTGCTCTAAAAGACAGCAGTTGATTTTTTTTGGATAATTAAATGTCATTAAAACTATAGCAACAACTTTGTCTTTAAAAAATCAAAGTCATTTGTAGAGGGCGTAATTGGAAAATATGGAGCCCTTGATCTATACTATAAAAATGAATCGCAAAATCTGTTGGTAAGCGCATAACTCAAGAACGCCTTGACCAATTTGGTCAATTCTTGTTTTTTAAATGTTTGTTAAAGTCCAAGGATGGTTTTCACCGCGAGAAAAATTCGAATAATGGCTGGGAAAACTTTAAAAATAGCCCTTTTCTATAGAAAAATTGGCATTGAAAATCAATCACAGTTCTAGTTAAATATTTGAATCCCAGATGGCGCGCTGAAGTGCATTATTAGCAATTCTTTACATAATAAATTTCTTTAAAATAAAATTGCGATTCTTATTGATCGAATTGACACATACTACGTCTAGAATAAGACAGTAAAAACGAAATACATTTTTATTAAGCACTACCGGGACAAAGTCGCGGGCAAAAGCTAGTTTAGTATAAAAATTAGTGTAAAAGCAAAGAATGTTATCCCGAAATAATATTTGTTTCTTTACACTTCTTGTTCTTTTAATCGTCTTGAAGGTTTTACAATAATAAAACTCATTTTATGTTCACCACACCGTGACATTCAATATTTCCCCTGGATTCCTGCAGTTTTCACGCTGAGAGCCACTAAACTTTTACTACTGTTTTATAACTGGGCACAGAAACTAACCTAAAAACCAACTCCACTTACCGCGAGTATTTTTTTAATTCCCAAACCATTCTCAGTGCCGTTTCTTGACATAGTGATTTGTGATGCGCTTGTGCACTTAAAGCGTTGATGTTAGAGTGTCGTTAGAAACATTTTGTGAGGCGTCCAACAGTTGGCAACATTGTTAACGGCCATTTGCCGCGGACAAATGACAACCATACATATTTTAAGGTTATGGCTGAGATGAACAATTAATTCGCGTTTTTTTATGGCAAAAACACGTTTTAACGTAGGATTTGCATCGTTTTGGTTAGCACAGCTGGATAATAAAAAATTATACGATACACAAGCTGTCCGGATGATGAAACAAACCTAACCTCAAACTCAAATTGAAGCGGAACGGAGTAGAGCTTCCACCAGCGTCATTTGAATATTTTAATAACCAATTTCGTCATTTCATCAAATACGTGACGCTTTTATGAAATTTCAGATAAATATTAAATCTGCGAACTTTTTTCGTTTGCCAACACCCGGGCACTTGCTTAAAGTTGAATTTTTCATCGGCGAAGCGGCGAAAACGTCATTAGCATAGTGACAACACCGAAGCAGACACAAAATAACCGCCGAAAACGAACTTCTCCACGCGCACGGATCGAGAAAACCCGAAAATAAAAAAAAACGCAAGAAATGCACGAGATGAGAGGCTGGAGATAAACATAAATGAAGAAAAGTGCGTTTCTTCGGTTAAGATGGCGGCGGTGCGTTGGTAGGAGACAAATAAGAAAATATGCACGTCAATGTCGAGTTGTCGAGAGGGCGGGTAATACAATTAGACTCGAAACGGACAAATAAAATTATGTAAAATATGCGTGCGCCCCAAGCGCGCAGAGAGAGAGTGGCAATTGAAAAAGTTTGCCAATTTTTTCGGCTTCCATCTTAAAGTCTCCCAGCGTTGCATTAACACAAGCTACGCCTTGCGTGCGGCAAATTCGGCGAATTTTGTTACATCCTTTCTTTTTTGTCCGGGACATTCGTAGGCGCATTTCTATTTCTCATTTTTTCCGTTTTATTTCATTATCTTCTTTATTTTTTCCATGCCTCTTCGTGGGCAGGATGAAAAACATCTCGGGTGGCAATGCCGACGAGAGGATTGCCGAGTCGAAAAGACGGAATGAGAATTTACATTATTTCGTGCGAACCACCTTCTGGGCGGAAAGCACGTAGCGTAAATTTCGTCGCAAATTGTCACGCGACAACGTTAACCTAAAAATATTCCACATCTGTCGGAAACAAAACCGAGAAACGTCAAAAATTACGATGATTCATAAAATTATCCCAAAAAAAAATCACAGCTGTAATATTACTAGTTGTTATCCTGTTGGTGAACAGCTTGGATAACTGTTTGAGTTTTACGATGTACGTTACTCATTATCTCACAGATTTAAGGACGTAAACAGATTTGTGTTCGAGCGTCGTCTTAAAAACTAACTGCCTTGTGTGCCCGTGCATAAAGGACTTAATGCCTCGTCGGGCCATCAAGACGGCCTTAACAAAACGTCTACCAGTGCTTCCTCATTGTGATTCAGCCATTGGGCCGTCACTCGTCGCGTCGCGGCATGTCCTGTTGGTGCATTAAATTTCCTAAATAAGTTCGCAAAGACTCATTAAAGTTTCATAACGACTTGTACGAATTTACGAGCATAACACTTAGCAAAATAACTCTAATGACGCCTCAAAACATAACCTAACTTAAATATAGTGTAACATTAAAAATAACCTTAAAATTTGACATATTTTTAGTAATTTATTTTCTTAGCAAAGGTAATCCTAGAAATCAGTCCAAAACGCGTGACATGCGCGTGCAAACTCATAAAAACGTGTCGAATATTTCGCAATCAGCGAGCGAGCTGCAAACGAGCGTAAACGAGAGCAAACAGACGCGAAACGACGCCGAAACAACACGAAATTCGAGGCGAGGTTTTACGAGCACTGCGCTACTACGTTCGTCATTTGAACGAGCATAATTTGACATGTAAACATACCAAGTGTTTGAAACAACACCACTAATATTAATTTTTTCTTGTTTCAGGTTAGTATAACCTCAAAACAACGGAATTTGAGGTTAGTTCAGCAGAAATATCATCTGCACCCAATTATACACCACAAGAATGTAAACACGTGCAACTTTTTCATCTGATATGCCTAAACGTTCGTCCGGCCCACATAATACAAAGGGTGAAAGTTTAGAAGAATGAGAAATATGCTTTCGGGTGGTGGGAGTTGTTGTTGCGCGCCGTGGGCCTTTGCCAGAGCCTTGTAAATAATTCAACGCCATCCGGTATATATTAGACATTAGACACGCTTTCGACATTGTTCGAAGGGTTCGACCCGCACGGGGGAAACATTATAACAAGCTTCCTGCTCCTTCCAGCCGAAAAGCAGGAAAGGGTAGCGTCAGGTGTCTTCGTCTCGGACATGGGTATTACCCGTGGACTGCCTCGAGTGCCAACCGAATGTAGTGTTACTTAACATAACCCAAGTTGGTAAATCAAGGCGGAGTGGGCAACATCATCTATAAAAGTATGGTAAAACGAAGCGAAGAGATTTTTAACAACGCATTTCGTATTTTTATTGGGTGATTTATTGCAGCAAGATTGAGATGCGATGCGATGCTTTTAATAAAAAACGAGGTTATGTTACTGACCTCAATACATACAATGTGTTTGGTGGAGTTAGGTAGAGGTAGAGATAGAGGATGTACATGTCGCAGGTATGTGTGTTTTTTCTGGATTCCCGAAGAGGGCAGGTTGCAATATCCGGAAGCCGAAATCGCTTTACAATACAAATCCTCATTTATTCGTTTTATCCGCTTTGGGACGCACGATGGGTGGCCCCATGGAATGTCGATTTTGCACGTATTGGATGTCAGCATACAGTGCAATTCATAAACAACATATAAACTCTGTATTTTTCTTTTAATATCTTCTTAATTAACTTAACCTAAAATTTAAAGTCATGATTCATTTTATATTTGGATATTTATTTGATTTAAAGACTTTAAATGGTAATTTAAACTTAAATTTGATTTGTTTTTTATTCTCCAGTATATTTGTTTGTGGTGGACAAGCAAAAACGCCTAAATACAAATCAAAATAAACATTTATTAGAGCGAGCGATTTACCGCGTTTTTTTTTTCGGCCCTGCGGCACGTTCGCTTTGCATTCAGCTTTTTTCTCATCAACCATCGGCCGGTTATCCTGGACCTAAAATCGTACTCAATAAATTCACAATTCGACGCTTAACATCCGGTCAGAATCTCAATTCCTACTACATAGTATTAAACGTGACAAATAAATTATTTTAAATTGAATATTTTTTTGATATCATAAATAAAAAATGTAATATTCTGATATTATTTATTGCATCATTTTGTGTTTGGAAATGTATCTGCTAATTTTTCCTTCCTGATCACAATCAAAATGTATCTATCTAGTAATACTAGACATAAGCTATCAATCTATCAAAAGCCTTCAAAAGCTTCCTTGTCGATTGTGTTCCGTTCGTGTGCTTGCGGCCATGATGGCGACCGCCGATCCGCCATTAGGCGCTCATTTCGTATTTCTTATTTCATGTTGCTCTGGCAAATAGCATTATGGTCAACTTTTTATTTCATCCTTTTTTTGCGTCTACGCCGAACGGACGCTTACTGGTCAAATACAAATAGCGCGATTTTACTGTTTACTGTCGAACGAATAAAAGAAAAGAAAATGACCCAGACGCGGGACGCAAAAAAGGCACAATGATAATGCTAGAAAAGACAAGGGAAGATGCGCATGTCGTCGCACTTCTTACGATTGAGAAAGAAGAAAATAAGCGACGCATTAATGGCCTTTTGTTTTCATCGATGCGTCGAGACGCGATTTCACGATTCACGATTCTATGAGTTTCCGAGTTATCCTTTCTTTTTTTCTTTCTTTTTAGTGGGTTGAAGGGTTTGAGGATATTTTTACGTTTTTGAAGGTTCGCCACGCTATTGACGGCAGACGATGGCAAATGGCATCCTCCGAGCTGATATGAAATCAGTACACATGAGCACACAGCGAGAAAAAGAAAACGTCAACAAAGACAGCAAAAGTGGAACACAATCGGGTAGATTTTTATGTTTCCGACGTTACTGTGGTACTTGTGATCCTTGATTTTCAGTGGGCTCAATTTCATGATACGCCTCACTTGATATAATATTACCTACTATTTATATTTAATGTGTATTAGAACACATTGTATATTTAAAATGAAGACATTCATTAGGAAAGTTTC